TACACAGGATGATTAATGAGTGAATATTTTTCATATTCTTTTTCATTATAATTATTTTGCTTTTGACAATGTGAAGTTAAGAAGTGCATGGGAATAACCCAATTTTCAATCCAAGCTGGATCCTCATACCTCATTTTTTTTTCCCTGAACAATATTATTAACCTATATGAGTGACACTTAGGCTTTGAAGGCAGAGAATAAACAAGTTACTTTTTTTTCTAAAGCTATAGTGTCATGATAGGAAAGGAGTTGCATTTTTTTTTTCTACAGCCATTAATTTCAGGTTTGTTCTAAAGGCAAATATGATTTAGAAGGATCAAAAAAAGGTATCAGTGATAATTGGAACATGGAGACAAGAAGAAGGCGGAAAGGAAAAAAAACGTGGTAGTGATACACTTAATTATGAAGGCTTATTCCGATAATCCCTTTTGAAAATGAACAAAGACGAGATTTTTGATGTTTGATGAACTTATCAAACAAGGCAGAATAATGAAGAGGTAAATGTAAAATCCAATCGAAGGTGAGCCAATTAAGTACTTTGTGAAGTGCTGAAGGACACAGCCCACAAATCCTCCTGTCAGAGCAAAAAAGGCATCAATACATGGGTGTCCTCCAGCTCCGTGTTTGTCTGCAGGCTCCTGTTGTTTTCCTGGAGCCACGGTGGGGTTTTATCCCACAGCCTGATCTGCACCCACGGGCTCCCTTCCTGAGCTGTTGCGGCTCTCATTTAGTAAGGCTCTCTTCTACAGCCTCTGATGAATCCCCAATGTGCTCCGTACCTCTGCTAATTATCAATATTTCTCTTTGGACTGCAGTCTTTTAAGTAAAACAGACTGCTCATTAGTTAATCACCAAAATAATAATAACAACAATGTTTTGGCTCAGAATAACCCCTCAAAAATGCTTTGAAGGCTATGGCAAACAGAGAGTTGTGTTAGCATGCCACAGATTGCTCCTCAAGACAAAGAAATGCATTACCCAAATAAAGATTGTAGGAGTCAGGACAGAAATAGAGTTCATAACAACCAGGCTGGGGGGCAAGAGAAGTATTTTCTCGCTGTTGTATAGTGACATTCAGTGTATGTGCAGAGAGTCTGATCCAAGGGCCATTGCGATACAGGACCCTTGCCGTTTTCTGCTTTTATACTCTTCCTTTGGTTATTTTTCACTTCTCAGAATTTACGTACTTCCTTTTAGAAATAGTCAACCAACAAATTCCCATAGTGAACGTGGCTTTGTACCTTGCCTTCCCAGCACTGTTGGTGCAGCCATTCCCACCGCTCCACAAAGCCAATGGGAATCAGACCCTGATTTCAAACTTGTCTGGAAAAATACTGACCATGAATTCACAATGGTGTAAAAAAGCGAAATCAATAGATTTCAGAGCAGGGCCAAGGTGATAAACATCACTATTCCTGGAGTTTGTGATGTCCTTCTGAGAACAAAGCCCCCCAAAAAAAGACTTTCTTTAAAACCTGTCTCCTCTCTACATTCCTTCTGTTTACTCAGTGTGTTTGGTCTTATATATATGATGTACATACATTTTATTGCAATCTACTTATTGGAAAGGGCTAGGATGTCTTGGGGGAGCGGGAAACCCCAGACAAAATTCTCAGGTCCTGCACCTGCTGCCCCTGACCACTTCTGATGGTGAAATACTTGGATGGGGCATCTCGGGTAGTACAGCTACCCCTGCTAAGGGATGCTTCCCATTGCCTACAAAATAGGTTCCTGGTGGAAAAACACACACACAGAGATCATTTTCTCCCTGGTAGCCTCCAGCCCTCCGTAAAACACAACTTCAAAGACCTTAGACCGCTATCTCTTCCCCTCCTTAGAAGAAGCAGCAGAGATGTTAATTCTCCGGCTCCTGTCAACTGTCAGCTGAGCCAGTGGTCAGAATGGACTGATTGCTTTCCTTGCCAAGAGAGAAAAGTAAGACTCCACTGTAATGTATTCATTTATCTTCAGATGTGTCTGTGATGAGGATGTACACACATTAATTATATATATTATACATATTCATCATTCTGAAGCATCCAGTAAACTCATCCAAATATGATGGAGATGCTCCTCTACTAGAGAGGCTCTTACTTACCCTGGTGTAAACTGGGGAATAAATTCATTTAAGGCAGCAGAGCAGCAAATTGCAAAATCAAGGCAAATGGTGGAAGAATCAGGCCAGAATATTTGCCCAAGACTTTCTTCTTTTTCTATCTCAGACTTAATTAAGTATCCCCTGATTCTTAATGCAAATGTTCCAATGAAAGAAATTAGAAGCAGCCTTCATTCATCAGCTCCTGTTCTCAATTTTTTATATCATTTCACATATGTCTTCATAATTCAAGAATTTATTTTCAAATACCTGACATAATTTTGCTTTCTACTGAGTTTATATCCCTGCATTTTTTGTTCCTGTGCTTATAATCAGTAAATGATTTAGCTCTTCTCTCTTTCTTTTTTTTTTCTTTCTAGTTTAAAGAGCAGCAATTCTCATTAATAATCCATCAGAAATGTTGCAGGATCAGTGTGGTAATTAGTGTCTGTGTCCATCTGAGCCTGTTACATTCCAGGACAAAGCATGTGTAACTGGAAAAATTCCATATTATTTCCAAGGTATAAAATAAGGAAGAGATTTTTAAAAACAGTTATTCCAGCCCTCACTCAATTTGCTCGTATGAACTTCAAGCAAATTTCCTGAGCTCCCACCTCGCTGTTGACTCTTGTTCTCCAATTGTCATGTACAAAGTCTTTGGGCCACACAAAAAAATAACAATATAGATAAAAGTGACAGTTTAAATTGCTTTATAGCCTGTGGAGGTGATGTCTCTGGGTGACACAAGTTAGGTGTTGGCGGTGTTTTTCTCTCGTGTGTGGTTCAGCACCGGTACCGGAGGCTGGTGCAGCCGGCAGAGTTTGCAGGGCGGCGATGCGCAGGGCATCTCTGGGATGAGGAAGCTTGCCGTGCCGAGACGACGTGCACCGGGCCCCCCGGCTGCGGGAAAGACTTTCGGTGCGAGGAAACAGGTGAGTGAACCAGACACAAACTCCTGCCAAAGAGGTTTTGGTCCTGGGTGGACAGACCTAGGGTGGTATCCGTCCCCTGCCACGGGCAGAGCTTTACCAAGCAGGCAGCAGGATGGTGAACCGGTGCCAGTTGACCGGAGAAAGCAGGAAATTTCCCCATCTTTCCCCACTTGTACAGAAATGCATCCATGTCACACTCAGATTTGGTTAAAAAGAAGGCTGTGTGATATGGAAAAGGTTAATTTTTCGGTGGAACAAAGAGAGTAGAAATATTCTACTCCAACTGCTGTGCTACACGCTCACACTCCCCTCCGTGGGCACCAACGCTCCCACAACACACCACTTTCTCCCCCTGCAAAAGACATAGTTCAATCATGAATCCAACTAGCAATCTGTTGGGGTGATTTATTTATTTTTAGCCATCCCCAGCTCTGAGGACTGGGATATAATACGGCTGTTCTCTGAAAGTTTGACTAGCCTTGACAGATTTTTGTTGTTACACAAATGGCTCAAACTCCCATCTTGAGCACTTAATGAAAATTCTATTGAAATTCAGAACTACGTGCCAGCTCTGTGACCAGCTCATCAGCTGGAGCAGGTCATCATTGCTCCATCGAGGCAAGTGCAGCAGTACCAGTTCCCTCCTGCCATGAATGTCATGTCAAGGTTTCCTCCTCACTTCCAGAAACAAAAGCACTTTCAAGTTGCCCTTCCTGCAAACATCCATACTTGAGCTATAATTATTGCAATAACTTCTCAAATACCTCCTGCAACGGGAAGAGGCAAGATTGCACTGTAATCAGACGGAGTTGACTTCCTTAAGCCAAGCAGAGAAGCTATTGCTTCCTGTAGCTCCTTTCCAAGAGCGTGATTTTAGATAATAACATCAGGCCAGCCAGGTGACCTCAACTTGATTCTCATCCCATGGGAGCCCAAGGGAGCAGCCAGCTTGGACTCTGAGCTATGCTCGCTCCAGGTTACAAAGGGAAACCTTCCCCCAAGGAACTGGGAAAAGTAAGGTGCCAATGGACGAGCGCTGCGTTTAACACCCAGTGTGATTTCTTGTGGCCCCAAGATATGGGTGGGAAACAGCACAATCAGTGCAAGCTGCCAAAAAGGTTTTCTGAAGGGCGGATAAGCGATCCCTTGTACCTGTGCACTTTAGGTCGCTGTATTAAACGGCATCTTGTGTGCAATGGAGAGCCAGACTGCAGAGATGGGTCTGATGAGGATAACTGTGAGGATGAAGATATTGAAAGCCCTTGTGAACAACTGTTCCCAATCCCAGGGTCTGAAAAAGCAGCCCAAGGGTGAGTAATTAATCAATAGCTGCTACTCTCACAACCGAAACAGGATTAAGTTTTTTTATATTGCTCTTCCTTACTAATAGAGGTGCTGCATGAGTCGATAGGGTGCTGCACAAAACCCAGCGGAGAGCTACTGTCCCACACGACCATGGGTAGCAATAAGGGAGGCAGGAGGGTTCATCCCAGCCTTTATTTCAAATCCTGTCCCGGATTTACTATCTGACCTTGGCCTTTCCCAGCCACTCTGTATTTGCGATGTCCTTTTTATACTCCTGTAAAAATAAATCCCAGTTATCTCACAGCTTTCTCCAGTTGATAAAAGTAATATATTAAAACAAACAGTAGACTTTGGAGATGCAGCATCCTGGTGGCATTCATCCTTCAGGAGAAGATTTAACTCCAGGATTTAGGACTTCAGAGCACAGATTCAAGGCAGAGAGCCTGAGCTCCACATGAGTATACGCAGGGTAAATACACCCATCCATGAAAAAGTTTTACAGTATTCAGTTTCAAGTTTTGGTTAGGTAATACACGGAAAGGAAGACTCCAGAATGAGTTTAAAGGCAAATTGTCTGCTGTGACATTCTTGTTTTAAATCCTGTATTTTAACAAAAATACTGTTTAGTTTCACTTGGACAACATGGCCTACAGTATGAGAATGCAGTCAGCCATTAGATAACTTTCCCATCATCTCGAACTCTGGCCCAGGGCCTGGGAGAGTCCATCAAAAGTTTATCCAGACGTATATTAATTTTCACCAAGCACTCCATTTAATACTGGTCTCTGATGTGTTTCTCCCGCAGAACACACAAAAGCAATAGCATTTACTGTCTTAGTCTTAAAGATGATTCCCTGTTGTGAGGAGCAATGCTGCTGTCTAGTTTGAATAATGCTTTCATTTTGGGCCGTGGAATTAGAGGGAATATTAAGTAAGAGGCAGGATTTCAGAGGGCAGCTGCTGTGATGGCTGGAGAGCAGGAAGAAAGAGGCGTAAGAAAATGATGAGAGACTTGGCAAAGCACAAGCAGACTGCAAGTCTAGGGAGGGTGCTAACTCCCCTGAGAAACGGGACCATTATTAAAAGGAAGGAGATGAAATTAAGATAGAAAACAATTACAGGGAATGCCGGGAAACATTTTGTGACAGTGAGATGCATTAGGCTCACGGGGAACCTGGAGGAATTCCAGCCTTTGGGACTTTCATAACTGTACTTGCTGGGATGGACTGGGCAACTTAACTGATTTTTTCCATTTCTAGAATATGAGTCCAAACCAATGTCTCGGAAATAAAATGGTTGTTTGTCTCCTGTTAGTTTTGGGAAGGAAATAGCAAGGAGATAACAAATCCAACCCTTAGATTTCAGGTGCTATCCAAATTCAAAGTCAGAGACCTGAGGATAGATAACTTGTAGTGTCAGGAGAACAGAAACACTGACAGAGACTGTTGGGGAAAGAAAATGCGAGCTATGGATAACTTTCTGAATGCTACTTCTTTCCAAGATACAATATCCTAACACAGGAAGAGAGCCAGTACGTATATGATCCTAATTTTTTTGGAGGCCACTGTGAGTATGTCTACAACGGAGAGTGGCGGGAGCTGAAGTACGATGCTGCATGTGAACATCTGTACTATGGAGACGATGAGAAGTATTTCCGCAAACCTTACAACTTTCACGTATACCAATTCCTAGTAAGCACCTCGGGTGGTTAAATTTAGCAATGTTTTCCAGCTAAAAGCCAAACTTCCTATAAAGATATCAGGTACATCTTATCATTAGCTTTAGGTTGTCTTTCAAGGTACCTTTCTCCATCTGTCCCCAAGACAAGAGACAGTTGATGATATAAATGCTGTTTTATGACACGTCAAGGAACTAACGTGCTTTATCACCCAGGCATCACCACTGCTTACTCTGGCCCAGTCAGAAGCACGAGAAATGGGGTTTCTCTAAATTCTGCTATTAATGAGCTGTAGAGCTTGCACAAGCCACTTGCCTCTCTAGGGATGAAGTTGGCCATGTGTAAAATGGGAACAATGCTACCGGTTCAATTTTTTAAAGTGTTTTAAGTCTATGGCATGGTTACAAGGCACATAAATCTAAATTCTGAGTGAGACAGAGATCCTGAAAGCCATCACCATGTATCACAAGCCTGTACCCTGTGGGGTCTCATCTGATGTTGGAGACTGAATTAAGTAGAGCAAGGATTCAACATGGGTCTCCTATGTCGTAAGTGGGTGCTTTGGCCACACTGTTAAACATTTATTATGCTTTTTGACATGAACAAATGAAAACACATTATTCCAGGGGAATATTACAGCCGCAGGTTCAATGCAAGTGGCTTTCATGTCCTCCCAGCAGGCAGAGTCCCCTGTGCCCCTTAGTCCTGAGTGTGAACCCAGGCAGACCTACCACACAGATCACGTTTTCTTCTCCCCCTTATCTGCTGCTAGCATCTGCACCATGGTCAGGTGGTGAGGGACACACTTCAGCATACCCTATATTCATCTTGACTCAGGAGCGTCTACATGCTGGGGTCTAGGAAGTCACTCAGGATGATGTGAGATGGTTTTTTCCAGTGTTGGTAATTTAGCTGGCTTTTTATAGCGATGGCAAATGGCACAGCCCGGATTCAGCAAGGCTGCTCAATTCCACACGCCCGCAAAGTAGAGCTGTCAAGGAAAAGGTCACTTCTCTAAAACACAGGCAAAACAATGTTTTCTAGTGTTGCCATCACAAGTGGCTGGATCACCACTGTTGAATTTTTCCTAAACAAATTCATCCAGAAGCAGGTTGGAGAGAAAAAAAATCAGTCCAAATCGTTAGGATTTGGCAGAGCTGTAAGGAACTGGAAGAAGGGTTTTATAATGGGAAGTGTCAAGCTAGCTTAATAGGCACCATTACCAGCTCCGGCTGTAATGGTGCCGCTTCCAGTGGCTAAACACAAACCTTTCCCCTGCCTGGAGATGGACGAAGCAAAATGCATGGCTTTATCCACATTTCTCATGTATTTCCAAATGAAACGGCACGTGACTTAATTCTTTATTCCACATTCATTGAAGTCAATGTCAGTGCTCTCAGGAGCATCACAGGCTTCAACAGAGGCACCATCAGCTCCTTAAAGAAATAAAGATTAAAAAGGAAGGGAAGTACCTGAAAAATTAATGTCTGCTCCTTTCACTTTAGGCTCATGCTGATTCTGGATTCACTTTAGAATTTTACGATGATTCAAAGGATCTGCTTGATGCCCTTAAAAGTGATAAATCCAGAACAAGAAGCTTTACCATTGGAATTGGGCCTGGAGGTTCAGCTTTCCAGTTAGAACTGGGCACCATTTTATCAGGTGGTAAAGGGTCCCTGAAGAATTTCACACAATATAGTGCAAAGGTATGTAAAAATAAAAATCAGTGATGCATGTGTTCCAGTCATGTCATGTGTGCATCTCATGGTCTGGTTGTAACTTATGTCAGTTCATTCTTTCAATTGCATTTTTTAACACATAATAATTGTACCTTAATTTGTTCATGTAATTGCAAATATATGATCGTTAGTAATCCTGTTTGTTGTTCTTACTACATTTGAGCAAACAGGGAGTGGGAATAAAACTGAATTACAAAGTACCACAACACATGTCATCTCACCCATTCCTGTTTCATGGCTACATTAAGCACATAAATAAAAAAATGCTTAAAGTGATGATGAGGGAGAAGGAAATATCAAGATGTTGATCAAAACAGTTGTCCTCAGGGGATGATCTCTGGTAGCAAATATATCTTGTTCAAATTAATACAAGCTGCCTTACCATGGGGAAACACGCTACTTTTTACAGGAGGTTAAAATACTGTGCTGAAAAAAAGAGTACCTGGTAATAGGGTGTATTTCTCACCGTGGGTTTACATCATGGACTAGCTGTGACGACCTCTTCCCAATCTAATAGCACGATTGCTGGTATTTCCCACATTTACCGTGCCCCGGCTCCACTTCTCTTGTGGCTGCTGACAGAAAACAATAAAGAAGAATTACTTTGATGGTGTTCTGAGTTAAAATGCCCTTAAAAGCTATTTGAAATGGGCACCATTATAGTATTTATTGTGCCCTTGTCCGGACTCATATGATGTTTGCAGCTAAACAATGATCAATTATTGGAGGAATCGAGAAGAGGAGTTGTGGATCTGGTGGTATATCCAGGAAATTCTCCCCCCCGTCAGCACCCTCCTCGCTGGGGTATCCCCCCACTGCTGGGCTGGGCTGGGCTTGCCTTGAGCCCTTCTCCTGCATCACTGGTCGAGGCTGTGAAAAAAGCAAAAGGGAATAAACAATGTGGAAGGGAAACCAGAAAAAAAGAAATAGCAGAAATGGAGGATGGCGGGGAGTCATGTGGAGCCCAATTCTTATTGTATTCGTACATCAATAAAAAAATCCCCATAGCATCCAAACCCCTGGCTTTGCCCTCCACCTCACACAGCACACAAGAAAGAGACACTCTAAAGAAGAATTATCACCAATTTCATTTAAACCCCGGCTCATTTTCATGCCCTCAACATACACTGACAGTCAGAGATTCAGGTTTTTCTCTGCAAACCTAAAGACTAGAAATTACCTTGCTTTTTTTTAAATGAATGTTGAGTGGCAGCTCCTCTTTTCTTTTCCTGCAGGAGGTTGGATTCATTAGAGGTGTGACGAAGGTGCAGACAGCCCGTTTCAAGATGAGAAGGGACAACATTGTTTTGGATGAAGATGTGCTGCTCTCCCTGCGGGAGCTTCCAAACACCTACAACTATGGCATGTATGCCAAATTCATCAACGACTACGGCACCCATTTCATGACATCTGGCACTATGGGAGGCGTCTTCGAGTACATCATTGTCACTAACAAGGCAGAAATGAGAAGAAAAGGTTAGAAAACAACAAGATACTCTCTGTTCACAACTTTCTGCTCTAAACCGTGTGTTTCCAATCTGGTGATGATGGAGTGGGTCCAGTCCACCAGAGTAATTCATCTGGCTCTGGCAGCTCCCCACAGCCACCATCTCCCCGGGCTCTGGGAGGCTGGGTGCTCATCAGCACCTCTTTGCTGAGTTGTCTGGCATGTCCCATCACATGATAGACACATACTTGTCACAAGCCCCAAAATGCAGTCAGGGTGGGGTAGGGGTTCACATGCATGTTGTTCACAAGATGGATGCACTACTGGCCACATAGCAGGGGACAGAGTGTCAGATAATGTGCTTCCTGATCCAATTTCAGAAGATCTGGGTGAGATTTTGGTAGTTTAGGAAGGAACCTGGGCATCTTTTTCTCTCTTTCTTTCAGTGTCACTTGCTAGACTTCTCTAAACTTCTCTTATTTCTTACAGTCGTTGTTCTGGCCGTTCTCATGAATGCTCAAGGAGTGCAAACTCATCCAGAGTAAAGAAAGATAGCCCACTCAGGTTTTAGCCTCCTAATAGTGAAGGTTTCAATTAAATGGAAATAACGCGTTACACTTGGCAATACCTCTGCCACTTTACTCTGGCTCGTGTCATACCTGAAGACTAACAGACCTCTGTTAGCTCCAGTTCTCAACAAATTAGAGTGTAGGAGGCTGGAGAGCCATACCTCTAAATCTCGGTTACATAAAATATCCACTGCAGATGTCTAGAGCGCAAGAATAGTCATTACTGGTGAGCCAAAGTATAACATTTTACCTAATCAAAAACATTAGATGCAGGCCAATAATATGGTACTTAGTACACTAAGCGGATTGTCAACTTTTGCAAAGGTGTCGACAATGCAATAGACACCACTTCCCCTAAGGACCATCACTCCACTCTGTTGACGGTAACGCTGCCTTGCTAACTCCAGGCTGGACATTTATGCAAAAGAAAATTGTGATACTGGACAACAGGTGCAAATTGCTGTAATTCCATCAATTCCATTAATTCCTGTGGTTCTGCCCCAAATTCTGCCTCTGGTCTGAAATGGTTTGGTACCATCAGCACTAGGATAACTACGCACACCATACTGAGTGTTAACCATGCCAATTTTTCCACAAGAAATTACTGATTGAGAGAATTTTTATCAAGTTCCTGAACTACTAATGTTTGGAAACATGATGCCTCTTCAAATAATTTATTCATTTTGAAGAGTGCGTGATATAGAGGTGAACAAGATCTTGGCAAGCAAGTCTTCAGGAAGCAGACTGCCAATTTCAGAGAAAAAATGAATCAAGGGCTTGTGGAGGGAAGCTATTATTTTGCTTTATCTTGCGCTTGCTGTGTATATAAGGAGGAGATTTACTGCTATGAGATGCCTTATCTTAGGAAAGAAGGATGTTGAAGTTCAGCAAAAGACAAAAATGTGCCGCAGTAGAAATGTAATTTTCATTCTAATGTAGTACGCTCCTGTAATTTTCATCTAGCAGACTCTGCTAGAAAGTCCACATTTACCAAGTCAGCCATGCTCTACATCACACGATGTAGATCCAGAAGGACCCACCTGCAGTGGCTGATATGCCACCGTCTAAAAGCATTTAGTAAAAAACCTGATTTTTCTAATGGCGATCACAGCCATGCTTGAAGGCTGTGTTTGCAAGAGGATTATCCACCTTCCCTGAGGAATGGACAGAATCAGGATATAAGCACCCAAGTCTTAAAATTAGAGCTTCCTAAGACAAGTCTGAAGCTCTGCAGATGCCTGGAGATGTACCGCTGAGTCCCCACAGGGCTGAGCAGCATGGCACCTGCTTTAGATCAACCACTGCATCCTGAGAGCCCACCTAGCCCATGAGGCTATGTGTTAAACGCTCTACAAGAGAAAACATTGCTTTCTTATGGACCAGTGACTAAAGCACATGCCCAGGAAACACATCCCTAGGCTGAGTCCTCCCTAAATGAGAGACAGCTTGGGTGGTCGCTGAGCATCTAGCTAAGCATAGGCATGAGCTGGACTTTAAGCATCCAGGAAACCTGAATTTTGAAAATGAAGTCACCTTCTGGGTTTAGGTACCCAGCAATAGACCACAACTCATCAGTAAAGGGCTTAGGAATACAGTTTTGCTGCCAGACCCATTTCTAGCTTTCAGGCTGCAAGGGCTTGTATGGATGTGGTCATGAGTGAAATAAATACGTATGTCAGAATGAGGTCCCTTGTTGCTCTGCCATCAATATTTTTCATTACTTGTTTTTAAAATAGATTGTTATGGTTCTATTATTTAGCAGAAAACAGTATAATGTGTTCACACATTACAAGAACATTTATGGAAGAAACATTACGCACAGAGTAAATTAGAAAGTCTTCATATATTCTGATTAATTCAAAATGCAGCAGTAAATCTCATCACTCGAGCACATTTAACTATCGCAAATTATATCATATAGAAATACTATCATCAGGGCTCCCCCCTCAAGTGCCAATATTTTCTATGACCACCCTTCTGCAATGATAACCACTTTTCATTTATCAAGACCCGATCTTGCCGCAACCAATAGCGAATTGTATCGACAGACCCTCGCTGAACATAATTACTCAACGGGAGCCATGGCGAATCAATTAATCAGGGTGTTCCTCAAGTTTAATTTTATGGCACTCCAACACCAAGATAAGCAATCACTCGTGTTGCTTTGGGTGAATGAACTTTACCCACTGTGTTTACAACTGTTGAACAGTTTAGTATAAGTAATTGAGTGTTACACATTTAATCTTTCTCAAGAGCCCAGTTTTGCAATGGGATGTAATTCCCCCTGAAGTCTTGAGCATGCTTCAGCTCTCACCAGTTTGAATCCAGGACTTGTAGCCCCTTTCTCAGGATGCTGAGCACCTCCGCTGGTTGGGACCCACCAAGCCAACGAGCAGATCCATGCCCCCCGTGTGGCTCCAGCGAGCCTCTCCTGAAGGGTGTGCAGAAGGGAGCAAAACCAGACCTATGGGCATTTTACCAGTATTTTAAACACAAGAAGACAAGACACTGCTCCCCGGTGCTGGGGTGAGGCAGTTCAGCAGACAGCGCTCTGGGCTGGGGCTCGGCCAGAGGTTCAGTCTTTGGACCATTAAGCCACGATGCACAAATCCTGCTGACCTCTGTGCCTCCCTTTCAATATCGTGGTATTGATTGCCGGGCTGCTTTGTAAAACACTTTGACAAAAAGAGCAATATAAAAGTTACCTGTTACTTACAATACCCGTATTTATTGAAATCAATGGATTTTTTTAACTATTAAAGAAGACGGTCTTGTATTTACAGTACACTGAAGTATGTACATAAAACCAGGCTGTATGAAATATGCGCATTGCTTACCTCGGTGAAACTGCCTCATTAGTTCCCTTCTCCCCTCCGCAGTCACTTCATGGGTCTCCAGTTACGTATTTTCGTGATGTATGTGGCGGTGGTGGCAGCAGCAGCCCAGCAGCAGCCCAGCAGCAGGCAGAAAGGTTTCGGCAGCTCTCAGCAGACAGACCTTTTGCAAGTTGCTACTTAAGATGCTGCTTAAGCCACTAATACCTGGGTCAAATCCTGAGTTTAGGAAAATTAGTGAGGATCTATTGATTTCGGCTGCTGTTCCTAGCTTTACCCTAGTTAGGAGTTAGTCTGTAAAAAAAAAGTTTTATTTTTAAATAAATAGACCAAACAAGGAAATACACGCCCGAAGCTTTGTGTTAAGATTTTTACTTTCTTCTAATACTTTCTAAGGAAACAATTTTTACAGTAGGGACATTTCCCTATCCAGCTGTTACGCAATAGACCCAATATACTCCGATAAAATATTAGCTCTTCCACCACAAGACTAAAAGCTGTCCTCTGCCTGGAATACCTCTTGACTTTGAAAACCAGGCCATGTAAATAACTGTGTATTTTCTTCATTGATAAAACAAAAACAAGTAGAAAAATGACCATTCTTCCATTCAGAATGGGTCACTGATTTACCTGTTTCCTTACTGTTTTGCAGACATCAGCGCTGAAGAGATAAGCGCCTGTATTGTCCGGTCCATTGGCCTTACGGTCAGCGAGAGTAAACTGCATTTGGAAGCATCTGTGTCATCCTCTGACTGTGCAAAGAAAGGATTTCTGAAAACGGGTATGATAGCACGGCAGATGTCTGTTAAGGCATCTTGCATCACTTCTTTCGGTCACTTGGGCATGGAGATTAAAGTAGGGTCACACACGGGTACGAAGAAGGGAGCTCTGGTGCCATCCCCAGCCATGGCTCAGGCCCAATTCTGGGACCAAAGCGACTTTGGGTCCCAGTCTCCAGGATTAGTGATTGCTCTCAAAAGAGAAGGAATTAAGGTAGCGATATCTGGATTAGAAACGCATGTAAATAGAGGCAGTCCCTATAGCCATGACAGACAGGGCATGGATGACAAGTGCAACATGGCAACTATTAAAGAACTCAAAACTGACTATAAAAAGTACTGAAAGAGGCTAGGAAGCCCCAGATTTGTAAATCACTTAACCAGCTATAGAGTGATCTACTACCCACTTGCTAACTAGGAACCAAGGCTGGAGGTGTGCAGGCTCTTCAGGTCTTACCAGCTGAGAGCATCTGAGATGCTCAACTTGTCACTGACCACCTTGTGCTAACGCGGCAGGGCTCGCCCCGCGAGCTCCCATCGATTGCAGGAGGCAGCATCAGTTGCCGCTCGCTCATAGCCCCTTGCACCATTGATCTCACCTCCATTAAGCAGTTTCTGGTGTACGTGGGGAAAGGGTAACTAAATAATATGGGTGTAATTCAACTTTTCAGATGCTGAGAGCAACAGTGCAGTTGTGGAAGATATTATTCCCCGGATAAGAGGTGGAGATACCAGTTACAGCGGAGGGCTCTTAAACAGTTGGGATGGCAATATGTATCGTCACTGGGGAAGGTCATTAAAATACAATCCTGCTGTTATTGATTTTGAGGTAAGGCTTTTCTGCAGTTGAAGAAACTCTGCCGCTATAAGGAATGAAAGTGTAGTCGAGCAGATCATTTCGTATTTTTATTGTGATCCCATCGCAGAACAAGATTAAATGTAATGGGCCACTGAACTGGTAACCTCTTATTCATTTCACAATGGGGAGTACACATCCCACCGACTGCATCCGCAGGGAGATGGACATGGAGCTTAATGCTGGATTAGTGCCGAGTTAAGTTTTTGATGTGTTCCCAAACAGCTTCCCGATGAATGGCTCTCCGCAGTTGCATTTATCCCTATTATTCTCCCCGATGCTATCTGCCCTCCTGTATAAGCAGGGGACTCGCAGGGGGCTGGGGAAGGAGTCTGCCCTCCGCCCCCAGCAAAGGCTCTGCATAGACCCCCCCCTGCTTTTCACCTGCCTCAGAGCCTTTGCAGACCCTGGTGGGTATAGCTGTGAGTCCTTCCAGGAGTTTTTAGAGCAGAGGGCTCCTGGATGCTTTGTCAGGTCAGGCCTGTCTTTCTCCATGCTCCAAAAAGAGGGTCCATAGCCATAAAAATCAGCCAAATTCTACTCCTCCCTTTTGTTTTATTGGATGCTCCATAAAACGGAAAGATCACTGAAGGATCCTACAGGGCTTCAGAGATGGGGTGGAGATGGATGCAAGCAGAGGGGATGGAAAAGGAGAGAGAAGAGCAACCCTACAAACAAATAATCCAGAGCTAGAGACCGCAGAGGCGAGAGGAGCTGGTCAGGGGTACCGCATCTACCCCGAGATGCTACGATCGCTGGTCTGCTCCGGGACTGCAACTGTGGGGTGGGGGGGAAGGACCTCAGTCACGGCAGGGACACGCTGCCACTTCCATCCCTCTCATCTTCATTTGAAAGCACACCCGCTCCTGGCTCTGAGAGAGGGTGGGAGAAGGGAGAATGGAATTGGGAATTATCTGTGTTATTGATAAGGCAAGAAGGACTCTGCAAACCTTCCTGGGCAGCACCTCAGCAGCAGAAAGCCCCGATAATATAGAAGCACTTTCAGTTCCAGCTGCAGGTTATTCACCTTTCTGCATGAGTTCCCATCAATTCTGGGCAAAATTTATTGCAATTTTCCGGTAAGCCATGTGCTGACCTCTGTGTTGGCTGCTCTGGAGCTCAGCACTCACTGTGCAACCGGAGCTGCCGATAAGCGCTCGTGTCCACTTCGGCAGCTCTTATCTGCAGTTCCCTCTCGTTTGTTAAACAGGCTTGTGCAAATTTGTCTAAGAGCTCTTCCCAAAGCCCAGTTGATCCTCCCCACGAATCGTTCTCACTGCACCTTGTGCAATGAGACAATGCCCAGCTCTTCTCTGGGCCCAGTTTCCACTGATTCCCAGCCAAGACACACAGCGTTCGCACAGATGCATGGATGGACAAATGTAAATCTGTGTCCTCAGACCAACTCTGAATTTTTAGCTTTAATATTCAGTTGAATATTACTATTCAGTTGGGCGACTTTAATTATAAGTCGCCCAAACTGGACTATTTTTGCCGAATAGTATATAGGAACTGGATTTTGCTACTGAAAATACTATGCGCATGTTATATGCTTAAAGCTGTAGATGACACAATATTATTTTGCTGCATCAAAGGGTAAAAAGTAAGTAGGCAAAATTCTCCACGCTCAGGATTTACTGGATGGTTTGCAATCTGGTCACCATTAGTTGTAGGCTGGCCTTAAGTTTTGCTGATACCCACTGTCCAAAGCTCTTACCAAAGCATTTTGGTTCAAAAAAGGCAAAAAGCATGCAAAAATTGCTGAGATTGTGACAGCACTAAGAAATTAGTCAAAAAACGGGCTTACTGGGGTGTTTTAATTTATCATTTGACTCCACACTGAAACGCCAAAGCATGTCCAGAAAAGCCAATCCTGCACAAACCTCTACGACGAGGAAGGTTTTGGAACGATGGTTTCTCACTGGGGCCCGTCAGTCATGGTAACGCATTTGCATGATGTACATGGAGCTGTCGAGAAAGACAAATGAGTTTTTTCTGAGCCCTGAGTTTATCCAGCAATGTCACAGCTCTCTGACTGCAGCGTGGTAGCATCTCAGTTGATGCCCAGCTGAAATTGTCTCCATGCTATTCATCTCCATCCTACGCAGCTGCAGCCCATCTACGAAATTCTCCGCAGAAGCAACCTTGGCGACATGGAAATCAAACGGCAAAACCTGAAACGGGCTTTGGATGATTATTTGTTGGAGTTCAATGCCTGCCACTGCGGACCATGCCAGAACAACGGTGAACCCATTTTGGTGGGAGACACGTGTTTCTGCCAGTGTCGACCAGGTTACGAAGGCCCTGCCTGCGAGCAGACTAAGCGCCGAGGTAAGACCCCGGGGTGTACCCGCAGCAGGGGAGGCCGAAAGGCAGCAAAGGGACAGGGTTTTCCCCTCCCCTCGGTTAACCAACAGCTCTTTGCATCCATGCATCAATCAAGCCTTCGCTTCTGTATCGCTTCCGTTGCTACGCTATCCTCAGCAGCCCTGCAAGAGACTGAAATTAGCAGCTCAGGTGATTATTATAAATACATCAGGGGAAAGGAGGATGTGTTTTATAGCTGGAGACTTACTGACACGTTGCAGAGCTGAGCTGGGGTGTGGTGGCAGCACCCTGGCAAAGCCCAGCTGCCCACATTGCCCACCAAGGGGTGGGCTCTGCCTGCGGTGCTCTACAGACACAGCTCGTTACTGTAAATGAGACCCTCACTGGGTCCTCACCGACTGGCACGTCACATCCTCGGGACGGGGATTCTCCGGAGCGCTTGCAGCATCCTGCTAAGGATGCCTGCTCCAAGGGTGAGAACACAAACCTCGACAGGCCAGGAGGGAAGGGAGGCTGAAAGGGTCAGGCTAAGCGACTGGGAAGTGATGCTCAAGAGATGTGCCACCAACAACGCTGTTTTAGTAAAAAATTGCCACATTGCCAGATTCCTCCCCCTCCCATAGGGAAACATTTGAACTAGAGGGAAGTATCTATTTGGGGAGAGAAAAAAATGTTTTTCCAAAGTGACAGGCTTTTATTTATGTTTTCTTTATCACTTCATATACTATCCTAAAAAATTAAATGGGTGGCAAAAAAAAAAGCCAACCTTGGAACATGCTCTTTTATTTCAAAAAATATCACAGTTCTTTCTGGATATTTTTGTCCTGATTTGTGATGACAAAAAAATCCAAATCTCAGCACATGAAGCTGGCAGAAAAATCCATCTTCAGAGCAGTTCCACCGGGCAGAGCTCCAGGCCTTCAACCATGTGCTCACAACTAGGGTCTCACTACTAGAAAATCAAAGCTGTGATGAGATAAGGAGTTAGAGCAGAGCTGGGCAGATCGTTATGAAGCCGCACTCAAAAGCATGGCTTCAGTGACTGCAAAGTGGGTTTCTTTAAAAATCTCAGGTTCTCCGAGTTGTCTCCAAATCCAAGGAACCTGCCTTAGGAGAGGAGCTTGGAAAGCTCAGGACCTGGCCCCAAAGCAGCCCACTGAACTGGCCAGCCCCTGTGCTCCCTGCTTTTAGCAACAGTGGGGATAGACACACTTCCAACTCACGGGTGATTTTTAGTTTCAAATTTTTAGTTCCAAAATTCATTTAAGACCAAACTCAGTTTTTCTAAAGCATGATGTTTCAGCAGATGGGAAACTCAGCTTTCCACTCAGCACTAAGTAAGAGCACACATATCCATTTGTGCTGTCTGGATTAATAAAGTGCCCAAACCAGGCATGAAGGCCAGTTGAGTAAATAAAAAACGACAGTAAATGACAGCCATCAAGCACTCCCATCATTCAGGAGCACCGCCATAATCCATACTATCGAACGCTCCTGACAACTCAGTCTGTACTGTAATAAAAAAGCCCTGAAATGACCCATCTCCAAAGGGATGGGCAGACTTTTCGAAACACTTCCATGATGTTAGAAGACTTTTGTCCCTCTGCCTTGGTCAAAGGTGAGAAAGTTAGTGCAGAGAGCGCTGTCAGCTGTCCTTTGGGAAAGGAAAGCCAAGCCGCAGCCTTTCAAATGAGCAGAGAAGAAAAAGAAACAGTTCCTGGTGTCTAAAGAAGGTGATGCTGCTTCATCTCCCCTGGCTTCAGAGCACCTTGATCTCAACCGCTGTCCGTGTGCTGCTTTTTTTCCACCTCCCCTCCTTTTTTTTTTTTTTTTTTTAATCCCCCTTTTTTTTAATGTGTTTACAGATGGTGAGACGGATGGACGCTGGAGTTGCTGGTCACGCTGGGCTCCCTGCGAGTCGGGCACAGCGCGGCGCAGCCGGCAGTGCAACAACCCGGCCCCGCAGCGCGGCGGGGAGCCCTGCGCCGGGAGGGACCTGCAGAGCAAAACCTGCTGAAACCCCCCGGGACGGCATCGCCCCCCACAGCTACATGGTCAACAGCAGTTTGGAGTCTATGCTATAAATACTCCAGGCATAATCCTGCAACGGAATTACCTTGGGAAGAAATAATTGTCTGGTATTGCATTGCTATACGTAGGGAGACGTGCTGGATTCACCGTATAAAACCCGAGCAATTGCTCCGGTGGATTGAACGCGTGCCTGGCTGCCTCCTCGCCCTCGCACCATGAGATGTGATGGGAGCCCCCCCCTCCCAGTTCACAGCGGCACAGCTGCAATACAGGAGATGGTGGAGAATCCATACGGGGGGCTTCGTTGCTGGGTGACCGTGGGGCTATAACGTGTCATAAAATAAATTTACTGAAAGTGTTTACATAAGTAAGCTTGGCTCGCAGACATTTTTATATTTGCCTTTGGAAAACACATTCAAAGCTCACGATCCTTGCATTTTTATGCAGTTGGTATTGACATATGTAGAACAAAACTTTTCTAAGTTGGCACTGTCAGACTTTTAAGTCCAGCATATTGGCCAGGGCTGCATTTGCAGCAAAGCCATATGCTGCTCTGCATGGGAGGAGGCTTAAGCCTAAACACGCCGAGGTATCATTGCGAAATGTGAACCCAAACTGACGAAAAATCTTCAATAAAATAATAAATAGAGTGGCTCGAACACAACCGTTTGGCAGAGGATGTTCACACACAAGCGAAGGCTATTCCTTTTTAAGACCAGTGATGAATTGACTATTAGCATGCAGGCGTTTTATCTCCCAGGCACCCAGAGCCAGAGAAGATGCTAACGGGCTGCTTGATTTAAGGGGCTTTTTTGAATGTGAGACGTAAATCTCAGCACAAGAATACACACAGTATTGAACTGTGTCCAGAGACCGCGGCGAGAGCCCGCAGCTCCCTCTTCTTAATGAACTGCCACAAAAACCTGGGGTGGACGGAAGGCAAATGGCGCTTCATTTTACTGGGCTTTTCGTTACAAGAAAAGAAGAAGAAAAAAAAAAGGCCCTGAGAAGGCATCGGGCGTATGAAAAGCTACAATAACAGCAACAAAACCTCAAAGCACAAAGGAGCACTTCTATATACATTTGAATGGAAAGAGGGAGTAGAAAGGAGTTTTTTTAGGGAAAGAAATCGCTCAGCTATAGCTCTGGTTCTTGGAAAGGCTTGTTTTTCAACAGCGCGTCAGTGGTGATTTAGAGTCTGACACTTAGCCGATGTAAATCAGGGCTGCTCCTTTGCCACAGCTGATTTATGCTACCTGAAGAACGGGCCCCATATTTTCTTTTGTGTGCGTGGTTGCCAAAGGGCAATTTTTTCACCATTTCTCTTTTGCTTGAAAATGAAACCATAGGCTGGTTTTGTATAAGAAAACGACAAACCAGGTTGTCTCCAAGCCCGAGATGTAAATGTTTTGCGAAAAATCCCTACGATGAGTGGCAAAGCTGTGGCCTTTTTGCCAACTTCACTTTTCCAGGTAAAGGTGATATTTACCCAGAGATGAATTTGTTCCCAAGGGCTTGAATCTGATGTCTTCTATGTTGGGAAAACGCAGCAGCGTGAAGCACCTATCTATCGGTATGATTTAGACATCCCAGAGGAATGTGAAATGTAGGACCAAAACAAGTTTTTCCCATCAGTGGTTTTCTCAATACTGTTTGGCATTGGGCTAGCAGGTTGTGTCGAAACATGAGACAGTGCTCTTACACCAAGGACCAGTTTGGCTCATAGGCGATTCTTACCTTTACACCGACTGCTTAGGACTCAGGAAAATGCCTGAAAGTAAACGAGTATAAAGTCACCTTAGTTACAAAGCTGAGCATGCTTCTTTTGTGACCAGAGGGAAGAAATTAATGAACAGAAAGATCTGATGCCTTGGAGGCTGGGGAGGGATGGGGGGCCTGCAGGAAGGCAACCTGCATCCTCAGCTTTTAGAGCCATTGCTAGAAGGACAGATCACGGGCTGGAGAACCACAGAAAAAGAACAAATACAAGTGATTAAAGAAACTGCATGTGAAATACCACCATGAAGCACACACAAATAAGAGCAAAAAAGCTGGGATTTACCTGCAGTTATTCATTCTCAACGTTCACCTCGCAAGCCAGGGCAATGAAATACAAACCCAAAGGTTTCCTTTAAATGCCAAAGGCAGCTCGGTACCAGTCCCTCTCCTCCCACCCTAGTCCCCCGCCACATCCAGGGCTCAGACATCTGCACGGCCGAAACTTGAAAGCGAAGTCAAAAGAAAGGAAGAAGCTGCCTGTAAGGTCTGGGGGAAAAATAATAAAAGATTATGAGCAATTACACATTTACAGTGCCAGTCAAAGCAGCTAATATATCTCATGCTGAAGTGGCCAGCATGAGAGTTGTGCTACATGAGATAAGCAGCAAAAATGTACGTTTCTTACTTAAACTAAAAGCTTAGAGGGTACAATAAAACACTGCAGTTCCACCCTGGTTTTAATGAACGGATTTTCCTCTCTTGCACACTGACATACATTTGATATAGTTATTTATCCTATATATTTCTTGCGGCATATTTCCCAAGAGACCTTGTTTATCTCGCTCATAAGTACATGATGGATGTATGGTGCTTTGGATAAATGGTATCACAATCAGATATTTTTATGGATATAGGCAAACTGGGTTATTAACAAAGGAAGGGCAGAGAGGAACCAGTACGCAAAAGAAAATAGCAAATGATTGATGACAATACACCTGAGGTTGCAAGGTGCAGACTCCAGATAACCAGCTAACAGAAGAGGAGATAAGGGCAGCGCTTGAGACAGAGCTGTTTTCTACCTCGGGGTCAATGTCACGCCAACTACCCAAATGCCTGCGTCCCTCTGAGCCTGCCATTTTAGAGCAGGCAAAAATTCCCCAGCAGGAGCAGCTCAAAAATTATTACCTTCCTTTTTATACAGTGTAAAGCAGAGGCACGGGAAGATACAAAACATTTAATCCTACCCCAAAAAACCTGAAAGAAAAGAAACACCAGATTCTGGAGAGTTTGGGGAGGGACTGGCATTCGTTATGCTGCTCTATCATGCCCATCACATGGGACTCTGGGCGCTGCATTACAAATAAGTAAAAATACATGTTCATGATGGTAATAATTACTGTCTTCATCTCTAGTTCTGTTGATTCACAAAAGCAGGGGGGTGTTAAAATAGGATATAAAAGGAAGACAAATCTGCAGGTATAATTTAACCTGAAATCTTGCAGTTGTCCTGGGTGCTCACTGGGCTCTTCAGCCATCAAAGCAGAAGAACTAGGAGTTGGAAATCTGGGGACTGTTAACACCTCTGCATGGACTTGCTGGGTTGCTTTTAACAAAATTTCTCCATCTGGGACAGAACCTGGGGAGGAACAAGTATAGCGGGAGAAACAGGAGCACGGTAAAGTAATTGAGCAATACTACGGCTACCACAGGGTTTGCAAGTCCCCCGCCGCAGCCTAGACCACGTTCCAGCCTCACAGGTAAATGTAAAGTGTCTACGTGGTATGAAAAGATAGGGAGCAAGTGAACCCAGGCTGGAAAGCAGCCTGACTTACCCACTCCTGATGGAGATGGTATAGACTGCAAGAGTCAAGTTGGTTTTTGTCCTGGGAAAGCTGGATGTCAGAATTACAACTTACCTAAAATACCCTTTTGGGAGCTTCCTAAGCCATGTTGACCAGATCCAGCTCGCATCACAACAGCAACGTCTTCAACCAGGGAGGTGGAGAAAACACAGCTTCTCCACGTTTACTTAGTTTCTTTTTTTCACAAGCAAACTGCTTGTGAAAATATAATATGGGATGTAGTAAAGCCCATTGAGACAACTGTCTTAACCAGAGAAACGGGCTGGAGCAGCGCAACCAGTGCTGAACACGCACGCAACCTGCCTGCAGCCTTCCCGAGTTTTCATATGTGGGTTATTAATCTAAACTTACACAGAAAGTGGAAGTTAGAAACACCAGTAAAAGATAATACCAAAATTTAATGTGTACCAAAATGAAACAATAAAAGCTTCAGCAGAGTATTTTTTATTCCCCTCCAGGTCATAATAAATCATTAGTTAGTTGAATCAAAGCACAAAATCACAAGGACGAGATAAAGTTACGTCCTTTATGGGGGGCTTCTAAGCCTATAGGCTCAATATTCAACCACTACTAAAATCATACTTCAGTTAGACTATCCTGCTGATCTTGAAGATTGTCAAATCTCTCCTTTCTTCCTCCAAAAAACCCCCCAAATACCCAAACTCAGACACTGCCCTTCAAAAAAATCCATGCTTTCCTGATCTGGGAACAGCAGTCCCAATTGAGGTTGCTACATTTGGCTCTGCTTGCCGCAGCAGTGGATAGACACACCGTGGGTATGTGTCAGAGTGCTTACTCCAGCCTGATGACCAGGAAAGGTGGTCAAATTTTCAAAAGCCACTCGACTCATCTGAGAAAGTTCCTTAATCAGATCACATCGATGCCTTTCAAGAAGGGCAGGCAACCGCACTGCAGTACGTGTCCTCACAGGCACCCATGAACCATGATCAGGGTCCTCTGCTGCAGAGCTTCTGCACTGTCCCTTTAAAAATCTTTGAAGAATATCATACTTTGCGTAAGCAGTGACCTCTTTTACCCATGACCCGAAATGAAGTTCTTGGCAAATTTCTATCACACAAAAGATACCACAGTTACACCGTGGATAACGGAAATGTTTTGGGTTGGCAGCTCAATTACGAAGCCCATAATGAGTACAGAGCACTCTTCTTTTACATATGCAATGTGCTCTTCCTTTCTTAAAGCTGTCACAGAAACCTTGTCAATAAGTGTGGAGGCGGCATGAGGGCTACAACTAAATGCATGTTGCATTGTTCAGATGTCAGAGAGCCTGAGTCGTTCTTACAAGAATTACATTTAGAAAATGTCAGTCTGAAAGGAGAGAAACTGGTGATACCAACCCATCATCACCAGCACTGCTAAAAACCCTCGGAAGAGTGTTTGACCT